ATACAGAGCTAACAAGAAAAAAAAATCTTAAAAATAAAGAACAATACATCTAAGAGATTCCAGTGGATCTCAGTTCTACCAAGAATATCTTTTAAAAGGCACCAAACTGCAAAGTCTCCTATTTACCCATAACTAAAACATTATTACTCCATATAAAGACCTGAATCATAAGCAGAAAAACCTAGATATATGGAAAGGAGCCGGGCGGTGGTGGCGCACGCCTTTAATCCCAGCACTTGGGAGAGAGGCAGACAGATCTCTGTGAGTTCAAGGCCAGCCTGGTCTACAGAGTGAGTTCCAGAACAGGCACCAAAACCCTGTCTCGAAAAACCAAAAAAGAAATATGGAAAGGTTAAGGATGAGAGCTCGTAGATCAATCAAAAAGGCTATATGGTCATCTGTTAAGTTTCTGTTATTAGTCAAAATACATATTATTAATACATGTACATTAAAACTACACAAGCAAACCATAATAATACAAATTTGGATTGTATTTATTAAACCATGGGAGTTTTCTAAACTAAAATATCTCAGTCTATTTATTGGTACTCAAAAATCATGTTAATAGTGAATAATGTTGTCACTATTTAATGCTTCTTGAATTCATTTAGAAATGAGAATCTGATACCAAAAAAGTAGTCTACAGGAATGGAAAGCTGACATGGCAGTTAAGAGCACTGCTGCTTTTGCAGATGACCCAGGTTCAGTTACCAGGACCCACATGGTGTTTTACAACTATCTGTAACTCCAGTTTCACAAGACCAGATGCCCTCTTCTGACCACCTCAGGTACCAGGTAAACCATACAACCCACATACATGCATGCAAGCAAAACTCTCACACATACAAAATAAATCTAAACTTTCATGTAAATGCCACTTTAAGACTTTCTTCCCCCAAAAGTTGAGTCTAGTATCAATAGATATAATTCTCTATTAGCTTTTCTTTAGTAAGATGGTTCTTTTTCTTCATCATTTATATCACTACTCCAACTTTAAAAGGCTTTTGGCTTTTATTTTTTTTTAAAGAGGCTAGAAAAATGGCTCAGTCATTAAGAGCGCCAACTGCTCTTCCAGATGACCCAAAGTTCGACTCCCAGCACCCACCTGGCAGCTCTCAATCCTCTGTTAACTCCAGTTCCAGGGATCCAACACCCTCTTCTGGACTCGACAGGCACCAGGCACACAAGTGGTACAGATTTACATGCAGGAAAAACACCCATACATGTAAAAAAAAAACTTTTTAAGCTACTTTGTTGCTACCTAGCATAAATGGTGTTATTTTATACCCCAAGCAAATGATTTTGTAATGTGTTATGCACACATGTATACAGTGGGCATGCAAGCTAGCTGACACTAGAGGTCTTCCTTTTATCAATTCCCACCTTATTTTTAAATGACTGAGTCTCTCAGTGAACCTGAATGGAGTTCACAGGCAAGATGGCTGGCAAATTGGTTAAAAGGATTCTTTGTTCCCATCCCCCAGTGCTTAGGTTACACAAGTTTATCACCAAGCCTGTCTTTTACATGAGTGCTGAGGATCTGAACTCATATCTCAAGCTGGCATAACAGGCACTAGGTCACTGAGTCATCTCCCTAACCCCAAGGAGATGATTTCTAAAGCACTTCTTTCTGCAGCTTCAAAAAGTCCTTCATTTCACCTCAACTGATGAAATTCAACTTTTGATAGCTCAAAGGTTACCAGACTACCAGAGAATGGCTCCCTGAAGAGCTATATCATATTTCCTCTTAAAGAGAAGCATTCTTGTAAGGAAAAAGTGAGCTATTATTTATTTTAAAAAGAAAAAAAAAAAAACCTGAATTCCTGAATTCTTTAAAGAAATCAAGAAACATAAGCATACATATTCAATTATACTCATTAGCAGAGATTCAAGCAATAGAGAACTGCAAAATACACTTATTCTTTCCCTTGAGGTCTGCCTTAAAATGACGGTGAGAATATCAAATCTGAAAAATCAGAAAGATACAGTATACAAAAGTTTGCTTTCAAGCCAGTCAGAAGAATCCTGAATACAAGGTTTTCCTTGGCTACACACAAGTTCAAGGCCATCCTTTGGCTACAAACACCCTTTAAAAATAAGGTGGTCTAGCTGGGCGGTGGTGGCGCACGCCTTTAATCTCAGGCAGAGCCAGGTGGATCTCTGAGTTCGAGGCCAGCCTGGTCTACAGAGTAAGATCCAGGAAAGGCGCAAAGCTACACAGAGAAACCCTGTCTCGAAAAAAAGGTGGTCAGTCATGGGGCTGGAGATGGCTCAGAGGTTAAGAAGAGCACTTGCTGCTTTTCTAGGGGACTTGCCTGTCTGTGACTCTGGGGATCTGATTCCTCCATACAGACATACTTGCAGGCAAAACATCTATGTATATAAAATAATTTTTTTAAAAAAAGGTCTATTTTAGCACATTTCAGAATATTGAGTTATGAACACTATGCCATTATGCCAGAAAATTAAAGACTACATAGCAAGTGAAGTAGTGGCATAACCAACCACTTTCTAATTGGATAAGGTCACCTCCTTGAAAGAGAATACAGGTCCAATACTATAAAACCTAGTGAAAGTCTATGGCTCGGGAAGTCACAGGCAGGCCCAAAGAGGCCAGCATCTGATGTTTTGCTAAGCAGACATTTGGTTAACTGTCTTCTAAACATTTTATGAGTTTCTTTTTAAATTTTATTTCATTTTCTTGATTATGTTCTGGCCCAAGGAGGTCAGAAGATGGTGCTGGATTACCCGATGCTGGAGTTACAGGAGACGATGAGCCACCCTATGCAGTTACTGGGAACTAAACTGGAGTCCTCCACAAGAATATATATGTTCTTCATTGCTGAGTCAACTTTCCAGACCCCCTCAACATTTGTTTATACCCATAAACTAGTGATGCTCTCAGCCTTGGGCAAAGAAACACTTATTACAGAGGATGATGCGCAATGTAGAGACTCATAACTGGTCAAAGTTCTGAGAATAAGGGACTATTGATTGCTTGGCCCAAAATGGGTCAACTATATTATTCCCTCCAAGGCTCAGGGAGCAGCAGAGTTGGCAGTAGAAAGACTGTCAGAGTTGGAAAATGGGAAGTACTATGAAGCATGAACTTCTGGACATGACAAACCCTTTGCAATCAGAGATACACGGGAGCTGAACTACCATTAGCTTAAGGATTAAAGAGGGCCTCAGGAGGCCCTACCCCTCCCTGAGGAGCACTTCAAAGTTAATAGAGGAGGGGTGAAAGTCATTTTCTTCAGTGGTGTAACCACTACAAAGTAGTCCAGAAAACAGCATCCTGCTCATGCTCATACTAGTTGAGAAGAATGGGGTGTTAGCAAGAGAGGGAAGGTAATTGTTGAGGGGATAAATATGATAATATATTGTACAAAAGTATGAAATTTTCAAAATTTTAAAAATGACTGTAAATATCTCAAATTAAAAAAAAAAAGCAGCAGTAGCTGCCTTTACTCACAGCACTACAGAGGCAGAAGCAGGCAGATCTGAGTCCAAGCTACAGTGAGACCCAGTCTCAAAATTAAATACATATATACATACGCCTCAGATATCTGAAGGACTTCTAATTCAAATAAATATCCTACTTATCCTCTTTAAGAATTTTCAGGAGAAATCAGCCTGAAGATTTTAAATTTGTTTAGATTCCACAAAATGGATAAGCCATTTTAACATGTAGCAGTCATAGTGAGTTGTCTACAGAAATCATCGGCATGTGGAGAAAAAGGTAGAAGATTTCTGGAAGTCTGAAGCCAACTTGGCCTACAATTTCAAGTTACAAGTAGGCCAAAGCTACATAATGGAAAAGAAATAACACTAACCCCTGGCTCTTAAACTTTTTATAATTTTTAGAAGTAAAAATATAATTACATCATTTCCCCCTTCCCTTTATCCTTGCAACTCCTCCCATGTACATATACTCCCTTGCTCTCTCTCTGAAGTTAATGGCCTTTACTTGAACTATCATTGTTGCAGGTGGTGGTGTGTATACACACTATTGGGTTTCTTACTACCCTTCCTGGCTGGCCTCAAACATGGTAATCTCCTTGTGCCTCAGGTACATTCAGGAGTAAGCCACTACATCTTTCTCAATCTTTTTGATTCATAGAATTTAATAAAACCAATCTGTTATATAAGCCATTAGTTCTTAACATTTTTAGAATTAGAAAAACCAGTTAGGTCTCACCTGGTATCCAGTGTTTTTAAATCAAGTATTCCCACTCACAACAAAATCCTTTATGCTGCTATCTAGAAATTTATCATCCTGGTCTCTGATATTTCTTCATGTATTTATTGGTTGGTTGAGACAGGGTTTCTCAGTGGCTGTCCTGGAACTCGCTCTATAGAGACTAGGCTAGCCTTGAACTCAAGAGAATCCCCTGCTCTGCCTCCTGAGTGCTGGGATTAAAGGCATGCACCACCACCACCTTCCACCTGAATATTTAGTTTTTGATTGTTTTATTTAAGTGTATGGATGTTTGACCTATATGTATGTTTGTATACCACATGCATGCCTAATGCCACCAGAAGAGGGCATCAGATCCCCAGGAACTAAAGTTACAAATGGTTTTGGGCTGCTCTGTGGGTACTCAGAGTTGAACCTGGGACCTCTGGAAGAGTAGCCAGTGCTTCTAACAGCTGAGCCATTTCTTCAGCCCTCTTTTGTGAATTTCTAATGAAAGAAAATATATGATCCAGGTGTGGGAAAAACCTCTGGGAGCAACATCATAAACCTTTTCACATTCCTTTAAACTTAAAAGATATATCCAAAGACATATGTTTCAGTAATCAACTAGGAATTCTATACAACCATCTTACACATCCTGAATCTTATCCACTAATCCCTGCTATTATATTTTCATAGGAAAGTAAAAGGCACATTGACTCATCAGCACTTCAAACACTGCCTGATATGGCACATAAAAAAAAAATCTGACATTAGGGATAGAAAATGTAAAGTCTAAAAGGGGGTAGGGACAACTTACCAGTTTAACAGCCTCTTGTGCTGCTTCTTTTGTACAAAAAGTGACAAACGCATAACCTCTGTTGAGACCAGTGAGTGGGTCCATCATTAAACGAAGATCCCATATAGGTCCAGCTTTCTCAAATAATGGAACAAGCTCATCCTCAAATAGATCTCTGGGGATCTTCCCCACAAATATCTGTAAATTAATATGAATTCACAATCACGGCGAATTCTTTAGGAAATTAGATACCTTTTATACAAATGGTACAAGTTTTAAGTTTCTTTACCTCAGTGCCAACAGAAGGCTGCTGACCTGAATAAACAGAATCTGGAGGTGGTCCCCCATACTTCCTCTGTCCGGTTGTCACATCAAGTGTGTAGCCTGTTCTTTCCAAGAGTGCCTTGAAAAGTTCAAATATTATTAATGCTTTATTCACATGATCACATACATAGAATTACAGTTAAGTCAATCCTATTCAAATCTATCCAATTATCTCAGCAACATTCCTGCATACAAATGTGTATGGTCTGTGTTAGAACTCTTCCTTTTATGTATACTTATCAAAACTTCAGGATCCTGTAAATATTAGTTTTTAGTGTCCAATTAATTACTGAGCAATAAAAAGTAAAATCAAACTATCAACACCTTTCAAGATATATCCACTCTGCTAATAAAAACCTCATTTAAAATGAACACTTCTGATTACCTCCCAACTTTGGATTTCTTAATAAATTCTTGTAACCCACTCCTAGACACACAATGCCATTTATGGGCATTTTGTCACCTCTGAAGATACCACTCCACTCCTCAAACCAAGCCCATACACTTGGAAAAACTTTATTATCTGGTGCTGAAGTGGTGTGCCACAAAGCATGGCTCATTCAGAAAAAATAGCCAAAATGACTTTGAATATTTATGAAATTACAACAATGTAACCTCTAGATTTATTCCTCTCAACTGTTAAAACACAATTAAGAGTTTCTCTTCATCTCTCATTATAGGTAAAAGTAACAAAAGGATGTATGTAATCCATTAATAAGCCATAAAACTCCATTAAGCCACAAAACCCCAAAAGTCCTGTTCTCCATTATATCAACTACAGAACAGTTTTGTAAGTAACAAAAACTGTGTTAATAACTAGCTGGCAATTCAAAATAAAAAGACATGTTAAAACTTATCAAAATGTTAAATGACTAGAGACTGAGTCACCTCAGTACCCCAAAATTTCATCTTTTCTACTCAAACATGACCTGTCCAAAAAAAAGAAAACAATTACTGATTTATGAAAACATATCAATTTAAAAAATATTCATACTTTTTTAATGAAATTTCTTAAACAGCTAAGAATCTTAAACAGTTCTAAGAATCTTTTTCATCACACTCAAATTTTTACTCCTTAAAATTTTAACACTAGGGGTTAGGGATTTAGCTCAGTGGTAGAACGCTTGCCTAGCAAGTGCAAGGCCCTGGCTTCAGTCCTCAGCTGGTCTGTGTGTGTGTG